ATCTTTTGCACAAACGGTAATATATGATTCATTGTTCAGTATCATCTTTTTCTCACTTAAGCCTTTTCTTGGAGCTGCTGTTTATTAATATATGGGAAAAGTCTCAAAAATTTTTAGACCTGAACCATAATTATTTAACTGACCCCTGTGGATGGGTTTTAGATTGTTGTTAGTCTTTTATGAACAGCACAGCAGTAAACAAACTTTCCAGTGTGTATTGTCATAGGATAAATTGTTAATGGGCAAGAGTACTTGTATTTTTGATAGCTAATGTCCAGGTGTCCTCCATAGAAGTTGTGCAATTGGTATCACTAATGATATTACCAGGAACAAGTAATGTCACCCCCCACCACCACCTTCAGGTACTTCACCCATGTGATAAAAGTGTAGCTTCTCAGTGTAATGTCAGTGTAAATGGCTCTCATTATGAGCAATGGTAATTTTTCATATTTTAGAGGCATCTTCATTTCCTGTGAACCTTTTGTTTACAACTGTTGCCTGCCTGCCTACCAGCCTGCCTTTCTTTCTCTCTCTCTTTCTTTCCCTCCCTCCTTCCCTCTTTCTTTCTTTCTTTCTCCTTTTCTTTTTTAATTTTTGAGACAGGGTGTCACTATGTGCTTCATGCTGAGCTTGAACTCACTCTGTAGCCCAGAATGGCCTCAAACTAGTGGCAATCCTCCTGCCACAGCCTACCAAGGGCTGGGATTACAGGCATGCACCACCATGCCCTGCATGGTTGTTGTTCATATTTCTGCAGTATTGTTGGTATGTTTCACACTTATTTATGAAAGATTATTGTGTATTAGTATTAACCCTTGATCTGTGGAAGAGTTGAAATAATTTCCCCATTTTATTCTCTATACTATGTTTTACTTTTTTTTTTTCCAGTACCGAGAATCGAACTCACAACCTCGCACTTACCAGGCAGGCACTGTGCTGCTGAGCTAAATCCCCAGCCCCTACTGTGTTTTAATTTCCATTTGGAATAGTTTCCTCTACTTTTCTATTTTAAAATTTTCCTAGCTATTCTTACTTATTATTCCATGTGAACTTGAATTTCAACTTGGGAAGAATTGAAAGTTCAGTGACCATTATCATCATGGTCTTTAATTTATTCAATAATACTTTAAAAAATTTTTCTTTTAAAAATTTTTTTATTATTAGACTTACAGTAGACCCTGTTAGTATAATCTGGAAATCACATACTGTACAAATTACTAGTGGCTGAAAGAGATAACATTAGAACATTATGATCAGCCCTGGGCTTTTCTTACTAGAATTGTGTGTTGTCTTTATCCTTTTTGATGAGAAGATACAGAGGAAAAAAAGGAGAAAGATGCAAAGATTGTTCTCTTCTGATAATAGTTCCATGTGTTTTCTAATAGCAACATACAGTTGCTATTATTGTGTATTAGTATTAACCCTTGGTCTGTGGAAGAGTTGAAAAAATTTCCCCATTTTATTCTCTATACTATGTTTTAATTTTTTTTAATTGTTTGCATAATAAGTTTCTAATAAGTTTGCATACAGTTCCCATCAAATTTCTAAAATATTTTGAGATCTGTACATATTAGAACTTTCTAATACTGTGTATAGTACAGAGATATTATTTTTCAGTAAAAAATTTAACTATCTTAATTTCAGGGTGGTTTATGGTGTTTTGGAGGAAATGGACTTCCTTATGCTGAAAGTTTTGGAGAAGTTCCTTCAGCTACAGTGGAAATGTTTTGTTTAGAAGCTATAGTAAAACATTCTGAGGTAATTTGCACATTAAACTTGTGGTTTACTTTGGATAGTTATGTTGAAATAAATTGTATAGATTGGTTCATGCAAGGGAAATAAAGCTCTTTTATTATAAAAAGTTAAAAGCTTTTCACTTTTTTTTTTGTCTTTTTGAGACAGGGTCTCACTATGCAGTTCAAGCTGGCCTTGAGCTTACTTTGTAGCCCAGACTGGCCTCAAACTCAAAGCAATCCTCCTGCCTCTGCCTCCCAGGTGCTGGGATTATAGGCATGTGCCACCTTCACGTATTTTTAAATTGCTGCTTTTTTCCCATTTTATTTGTTATAAATCATAGTCATAATTTAGCACCAATACACAAGCTTCATTTTTGCTAAGTATTTCTAAAAATTCTTACTTGCAGATAAAGAAAGCAATCCATTGCTTAAATATAGCATTCACTTTTCAGTTAGTCTTTCTTCTACTACTTTCCTGAGATCTTTTTTTACACATATTACCAGATAGTTAATTTCCATTAAAACATCTGCAAAAGATGTGGAAGACAGGGAAAAAAGAAAATATTATATGACTATATACCAGTGGGGGTGAACCTATTGCACTCAATCTGCAGCAAGCTGTTTGTATCATTGAAAGCTCTAACAATTTCTCAATCACTTCTGTGTACACCATTATAATTATAGCATATACCAGTGATTTTTAAATTTTTTGGCATTATGGAGTGTTTTCTGTTGTGATCACAAATTTAAAAAAGAATAATGTATCAAGCCTGTAGTGCAGAAATGGAATGCATAAACATCACCCAGGAAGCACGTTAAAAATGCACGTTTCCTGCTCATCTCTGGCAATTTGATCTGGCATGGAATCCAGGAATTTGAGTTTGTAGCAGGGATCACAGGTGAGGTTGATGTAAGTGGTCCTCCTCAAATCAGCAGAAACTCTATCCTAAAAATTCTGAATTCTTCATTTAATTTTGGAAATGACTAGACATGGTTTTAAAGCATGGTGCTTCCGAGGTATTTCGTAGGTATTCCACCCATGGAATGAGGTACTATCCATAAAGTAGAGTGAATATAGGGTTGTAGGAGGAATGTGGGAAAGCAGTCCATGTGATGTGACTTCTGTGTGGTGCATGAAGGAATCAGTGTATTTGGAGCAAAAAGCACAGTGCATGGCATTAACCTTTCCAGAAACCTTTCAAATTAGCACAGATCACACTTGACGTATGTCTAAAAGGCATAATTTTTAGTGCACTTAAAATGTGACACAATTTAAAAAGCATTTGGAGGATGAAATTTGTCATATACCATGTCGCGTCAGTGAGTAAAACTCATGCGTCAGAGACAAGACTATGCCAGGTGATGTCAGACTGAGTATAATGACTTGGTGAATTCTGGTACCTTAATGTACATATTTCCTTGTTTTGTTTTCCTTTTTCTCTTTTCTCCATTAAGAATTCAAGTCTCATTTCAAGTCCCTCCTGAGTTTTAGGCCAGCGTCATTGCTATGGGCATGATAGAGGGTGGGGTGTAGGGTCACAGATGTCATTTGTCAGGTCTGTGTGAGTCCTTGTTTTGGAAGCAAAATCGACCTGCTTGCACAGTGGACTATTTCCTGTTATCAGGTGACAGAGTTCTCAAGATTGGAAAACCATTTTAAGGTAGTATTATGCTACAGTATCATGATAAGTTGAAAGAAATGTTTTTAAAATTGTTTAATATTTTTGAGACAGGGTCTTGCTGAATTGCTAAGGTATCCAGGCTTGGTTTGAACTTGTGATCCTTCTGCTTCTGCTTCAGAGTGCTGGGATTACAGGTGTGCACCACCATACCCAGCTTGAAAATTGTTTATTTTTTTTTTCCACCTTATTTTTTTTAAGCATTGCATAACCATGAAACTGCATGCTACATAATACACTGCTTAGCCTTTCAGCAGGGTTAGATAACCATAACTAAGTTATTTTTCCATCAGTCAGGAAATTGCTTCCTTAATCAGTGTTTTGCCAAACCTTTGGTACATAGTAAAGATTAACTCTAGAGATATGGGTATCTCTTTCTGTCAAAGTCCACTGATATGGAAAACAGGCAACCCTTTTTCCTCACTCCTGTTAGTAAAGTCGTGGATGTGCACAGTGACCTCTCTGGGAATGCGCAGGCATTTGCCCATGATGGCAAATCTAGGGAGACTCTCAAACCATATCTCAGCATGGTCACCTAGACCAAAACCCTCCTATAATCTTAAAGGTGACTGAGCTTTGTTCTTCAAACAGTTTTTAATATGACAAATCAAGAGCTAAACACAGTAAGAATAAAAATTTTAGAAGTTTTGGTGAAATATGCTTTCTTGGGAGTTTTTTCCAGGATTTTGAAGTACTTCCCACATAGGTAGGAGTGTGCTTATCTATTTAAGTAAATTGAGAGAAGAATTTTGAATAGTTTGTCTGCCTGTCTGTTCTAGAGCAGGAGCCACCTGGCCAACCCCAAAGTATGCTGTGATCTTGTATAGCGAATTGTGCAACATAAAGCAAACTTTCATTAATTTATCGTGCTAGATATCCACACATTGTGATAACATCGAAGCAAATGGAGGCTTGCAACTACTTCAGAGGCTGTACCAACTTCACAAGGACTACCCTAAAGTCCAGAGAAATATAATGCGTGTTATTGGAAATATGGCTTTGAACGAACATCTTCATTCGGCTATAGTACGCTCAGGTAACAACTTCATTATATGCTGAGTATTTTTAAATCCAGTCCTTTGCTTTCCCACTGCCATCTTTCATGATGCATTCATTTTTCAATAGACTCGAGACTTTGCTTAGGATTACTGTTGTCCTTAGAGCATGTTATTTTGGTAGGGACAAGGAATTATTTGAGATTGCAGATATCCAGTCCTAAAGAAGTCAGTGTCTGACACTCATCAAAGAGCAAGTTTTGCCATGTTGCCCATCTGATTATTTGTATAATTTTTAATGCAATTTGGCATAGACCAAAAAAAGGCCTAGTGTACAGTTTATTTTCCCCTTTGCAACTGATAGACTGGGCACATATCTTATTTCTCATACTCTAAAAATTCCTAGCTGATCCAGCCTTTACCTTGATGGTTGCAAAACAATTTCCTAACTCCAGCTTACTTTCTTCATTTGTTTTTCAGCATTTGGCATTCTACTAGAAGCAAGAGCTCTCCTTCCCACTATCCCTCCTCCCTCTTTTTTTCTTTCTTTCTCCCTTCCTTCCCCTATCAGCATAGACACATGATTTTCTATTCATAATGGTTTATAATTTATTGCTGGGCTTAATAACTTGTCAAATTATCTCAGGTTTGACTAGTAAGAGAGAGCCTCAACAAACTTGTCCCTGTGTCCTTGTGATATGCCCAGATCATTTTTTGAAGGGTCATTTCTTACTTTCTGGTATAATGAGATGTTTTAGGCTCCTTTCTCTGAGGAACTCTATTTCCTTGTAGTGGAGAATGATTATTGGAGCCCAAGATCTAGGTGCTAAGAGTGCTTATGGCTCCTGAGGTGTTTATTAACTCTTTCAATAGAGCAAGATAAGATAGACACACAGATACAAATAAATATACATCTACTTGGATATGTTAATTCATATACATGCTTTAGAAACTCTGACTGCTTTGATATCTTTAAACTAGAAACTATGAATACTTGAGTATCTTTAGACCAACAGATTTAATTTTGATAAAATCTAGTTCAGGGTTTAGCAAGCTTTATGTAAAGAACCAATAGAAAATATGTTAAACTTTGAGAACTAAATATGGCCTCTGTTGCATATTTCTTTCAGGTTTTGATTTTTTTTTACAACTCTTTATAAAAACTACTCTTTATATTTCATTGCTTCTGCTATTGTGAGTTTAATTTGTTCTTTTCCTAGTTTAAGGTAAAAACTTAAATCACTGGTTGTAACCTTTCTTCTTTTTTAAATTTCTCTTGCCATGTGAAACCACCCAGAACTCTACAGTTCAACCACTGGGCATTTCTCTTGCTCAGAAATCTGAAATTTGGGTCAGGGTCTGTGGGGAAAGCATATATCTGCCTCGTGCACATTAGCAAGAGCAGCTCAGCTGTGGGGTAGGAGACATACACGAATGAGAACTTACACACATGGCTTTTGGGTAGCTGTTGGCTATCATCTGGGAGGTACCAGGCCGAAAGCTGGGAGCTACTGGCTCCTTTCCTTATGTCCTGAGTTCCCTTGAAACATGATGGGTTCCAAGGGCAAGTATTTCAAGAGAAAAAGCCAGATATATGTTCTTTCATCTTTTATAACCTATCCTTGGGAGGAATTTCTACCCTAGTTGATTGGAAGGTAGTCACTAACACTAGCCCATATTCAAGGAAGAGATTTAGATTCATCTCTTCATGATGAAAATAGTGTCAAAAATTTGAAGATGTGTTTTAAAATTAATATATTTTCTTACACTGGCACTTCAAGTTATAAATTTCTCTTTCACTTTGCTGTAGATGCACCACTCAAATTTTGGATGTATTTTCATTATTCAGTTTGAAATATTTCCTAATTTCCCTTATGATTGCTCCTCCCTCCTCTGTGTGTGTGTGTATTGTTCATTTTCCCCTATGATTGTAAGATATGTTTTAATAAAATTGGGTATGTTTATAGTATACAGATGTTTTGAAATATGTATTCATTGTGGAATGGATAAATTGAGGTAATTAATATATATATATATATAACCTCACATACTTTCTTGGTGATAGGAACACTTAAAATCTATTCTCTTAGGAAGTTTTAGAAATACAAGAAATTATTAGTAACTATAATCACGTTTTATGATAGAGGTCTTAAACGTATTTCCTCCTACCTATCTGAAGTTTATATCCTTTGACCAGCAAGTATACACATGCATGAACATGATTACCTGGACCCACTCTGCCTTCATTTTTTTTTTTTTTATTGCATAACATTTCTATCTCTGGTAGTATTCCTTTTCTGTAAGTCTGCTTTGTGTGTGGTGTTTTAAAAACTTTTTGTTACGCTTGCTATTTGTATCATATATTGTAGATTTTATCTTTTCCTCTTCTTTTTTGTTGTCTTGATGGAGGGTCTCTCACTCTGTAGTCCAGGCTGGCCTTGAATTGTGATTCTCTTGCCTCAGCCCCCTCGGTGTTGGAATTACAGGTGTTCACCACCATCCCCAGCTTCTTTTCTTCATTCTTTACTTTCACTTTTCTGTAACTTTAAACAGGAGGGAGGGGAAAGGAAAGCAAAAAGGGTCAAGATGTGATATATATATATGTGTACCAATTCCCCATAATGAATATATTTATTATATGTCATAAATATATACTAATATAAAAGGGAAATATTAATTAAAAAGTGGATTTTTTTATAAACAGCACATTGGATATTTCTTTTAGATTGGCTATATAATTGGGTGTTTCTTTTTAGGTTCAGTTTTATATTCTCTCCCTTTTAATCAGTGTTTGTCTCTTTATCTCTAATTTGTGTGTGTGTGTGTGTGTGTGGTGCTAGGGATCAAACCCAGGGCCTTGTGGATGCAAGACAAGAACTCTACCACTGAGCCACATTCCCAGCCCCTCTAATGTAATTATTGATATTGACTGTGTCTGTCACTTTGCTCTTCGCTTTCTGTTACCTCTGTATTTTGGTCTTTTTCCTGACTGTTTTATTAAATATATTTTATATTTTGTTCTTTCTCCTCTTTCATATTTTTATACAATGTATGTGTATACATTTTTAAAAAACTGTTACATTTTTAACTGTATCCTGGAATTAATCTCATACCATTTCATATAATGTGAGATTCTTTTTTTTTTTTTTTTGGTTTTTCTCCAGTACCAGGAACCGAACTCATGACCTTGTGCTTGCCAGGCAGGCGCTTTGGCCGCTGAGCGAAATCCCCAGCCCCTAACGTGAGATTCTTATGACACTACAATTCATATCCCTGACAAAATGTGTTATAGGGCTTGTGATACATTTTTACTATTTTTGTTTGAACAGTTATCTTAGTCCATTGTATGCTATTGTAACAAAATACCTGAGGCTAGATAATTTATAAAGGACAGAAATTTTATTTCTCACACTGTTAGAGGCTGAGATTTCCAGAGCAAGATGTCTGGTTAGGGCATGATATATCATCATATGATAGAACTCAGAAGAAGAAGCAAACCAGCTAGTCTAATGCTGCATGAAGTCCCAATCAGGAAGACCTGAAAAAGTAATCAAGACAGCAGTGGTCCAGTGACAGTTAAAGGATATTCAAAAGAAAAGGTCTTCTGTTTATTTAACGGTTTTTAATGTCAGTGCTCTCCCTTTTCTGTATATTTAAATTCACATCTGATATAATTTCCCTTAACCCTGTATAATAGGTCTGCTGGCAGCAAATTCTCAAAGCTTTCATTTTTTGCAAATGTACTTTTATTTTCTATCCAAGGAAAGATATAAAAAATTCTTTGTGGATAATGTTATTGTTTCTGTCAGAACTTTTAAAATGTCATCTTGCCCTCTCCTGGCATCCATTGTCCAATGAAAAGATTCTCTTCCCACTTTTGTTCTTACATATGTGATTTTTTTTCTTTTAAGATCATATGTGATTGATTTCCGTAGTTGACTTTGAAGTGCCTCAGTGTCCTTTTTATATTTAGCCTGCTTAGAGTCCACAGAGATAAATGAATGTGTGTGTTGGTGTTTTTGACCAAATTAGGAAACTTTCCAGCCAGTATATTCTTAAGTATTTTTCTTTTTCCCCTTTTTTTCTCCTCTTTCCTTTTAGAACTTCAAATATGTATTAGACTATATGAAACTGTCCAAGGTCATTGATACTGTCCAAGGTCATTGATACTCTTAATTTTGTTTGTTTTTGGTTGTACTTTGGATGATTTCTGTTGACCTATCTTCAGGTTCATTGATGGGATGGAGATGAAAGAATTTTAAAGCAGCACAGCTACTTGATCAAATCAGTTTTGATCAAGTTTTATTAAAGAAAGAACTCATCCTTCTCCAAGTAGAACTTGGCTCTACCCTAGGTTTTCAGTTTTCTTGGTGCACAGCTCATTGGCCACTTTGGCCTAGGCTCTGTGACCTTTGTCGCTCCTGAGTTATCTAGTACTCCACTCCCATGCCAGACCTTCAGCTGAGTCACTGCCCAAAGCTACTTCACCTGAAGAATCACTGATTCAACTCCCTCAGCACGTCCTCCTCGCATCTGCTCCAGTAGTGTCTAGTTTCCTTTTCTACTCTTCTGACTGTACTTCTCTTGCAATCCATCGGGTCTACTGATTTGTTGTGGCCTCTGGCTCTGCTTGTCTTCCTGGTTCATCATTTCAGTAACATTCTTCCCAGTATCTACAGCTTCCATTTCCTGATATTCTTTTCATACCCCTTGGTCAAGAGCCCAACCATGTATGAAGCCTATTATTTGCTGCTTCTGTGCTTAAGCACAGAATCATTGCAAACTGATTGTCATGGTGCTTATAAGATCAGTAAATTAAAGGATTGTCAGTATTGCTCAGAACCATATTTCTCCAATCAATATGTCCTTATATTCTTAGCAATGAGTATTGTAAGCTTTCTTAATAGTCTTCCTTCTCATCAGATGACCCTTGTCCTACTTCACTGAGATAATTTCAGTTTCTCCCTACTACCTCCGCCATTTGTTCTCTTCTTTTCTTAATAATAGAAGAAGGGGCCTCTCTTAGAAGGTTTCCAACTATGCATGGCTCTCACCTTCTTTCTCTTAGGAAATGCTCTTTTGTAGTCTGTAAGATTAGCTGTTCCCTTTCAGCTGGGCCCTTCTGGTCAGCAGAAATTAGGGGAAGATAAAAAATAGGAAAAACAGAAACCAAAATCCTTAACCTCATTTCTCCACTGATTTCTACTCCCCAGTCCCTTTATGGCAGTCCTGGAGATTGAATCCAAACCTTTGCATTGAGATATATCCCCACACTTCTTTTTTTAAGCGAGAGGGTCTTATTAAGTCATTAAGCTGCCCAGGCTGGGCTTGAAAATGCATGTAATCCTCCTTTCTCAGCCTCCCAGAATGCTGGGATTACAGCTATGTAGCATCACCACACCCAGCTCGCCTCCTTTGTATAGCTAAATTTTTGATACTTTCTTTTTGGTCAGCTCTCGTTACTCCCAACACTCCAATTTGAATTCTGCTGTGGTTACCCTGTTTTATTTTATTCCCTTAGGCATCGTTTTTTACTTTTACTCTTTGCTAATATGTATCAGTCTAAATAGTATCAGACCTGCAAAATTTTGCCTTTAAATTCACAAAAGTTAAAGACACTGATAGTACCTACTATTGATGAAGATGTGTGAAAATCACACTTAAATGGGGAACAGAAGTTTGAGCCCGAGTCTGATCTCAAGGCTCATGTTCAGCTTTGTTTTAAGCTATATAAATAATATATAAATAGGTTCTCACTGTAAGTAGTTCAGAAAACAGATACAGCAAAAAAATTAAACCTACTTTTTTTACAGAATTATTCCATCCCACCTCCCTCCTAAGAGGTAACAACTGTTTGAGTTTGGTGTACTGTATCTTTCCAGATCTTTGTGTGTTTTTGTGTGTATGTGTGTATGCATGTGCTTGCATACATATTTACATATATGAAAATATGTAAATATTTTATTTTATTTATTTTTTTAGACAGGGTCTTGCTATATAGTTCAAGCTGGCCTTGAACTCACTATGTCTCTCATGCTGGCCTCAAATTCATGGTGATCGTCTTGCCTTAGCTTCCCATGTATTGGGATTACAGACATGTGTCACCATGCCAGGCAGCATATATATGTTTTAAAAAACAGAAAACATAAATTAAGTTATAGTATACACAGTATTATCCATGCCTTTTCTGTTTGCCTCCTTGTTTTGGGGCTGTGTAACTCAGGCTGTCCTTGAACTCACTTTGTAGGCCAGGCTGGCCTAGAACTCACTGTCCTTCTGACTCAGCCTCTAAGGATTACAGATGTGTGTTTGCCTTCTGTTAAAAAAATTAGTTTTTCCTTCCTGATCTCTAGATTTTATAAGACTTTTTTGTATCAGATGCATTCCTTAAGAAATAATTTTTTGTTTGTATTAAAGGCTGCTGGTATGATTTAAGTCAGGATGAAGTTACTAGTTTTAACCAACCCATTGGGTTTTATAATTCTTGCAAAAAGCAAAACATCATGGTATTTTCTTCCCTTTTGTGATCTTACCTCCAAAAATCGCAATTAGTATTAGATTTTCTGAATAGATAAAATGACTCTTGCACTCTTCTCTCCCTCTGTGACATCCCTCAAGGAGCCTATGGCTGGGGATGCCACAGTGGTGTACTGTGGGACTCAGGGGCAGAATGGAGCTTGCATGTCAGGCTTCCCCACCCAGGACAAACACTTGAGGTTTGCCTTTCTCCAGTAGGTTGTTTCCATCTAAAACCTCTCTACAGTTGGAGACAGATTTGTGTTAGTATTTAGGAGATCTTTTCTTTTCACCAGGCTGGGTGACAATAATGGCAGAAGCATTGAAATCTCCGCGCATTATGGAGGCTTCACATGCTGCCAGAACTCTGGCTAACCTGGACCGAGAAACTGTGCAAGAGAAATACCAGGATGGTGTGTACGTGCTCCATCCCCAGCACCGAACAAGGTGAGCAAACAGTACTGGCATTGTTCTCTTTGGGCACATAAAGCCAGATGGCTTAAAGTTTCAATATACATCTGCATAATTTAGAGAAGTTCAGTACCTTACTCATAAATCATATACTTAATACTGAAATGGTTTGTCCATAATAACCTCAGAGGAACCAAAGGTTGTCTGAAGGCACAAGAGGTAAATCATCAGGGTTCTCTGCAGGCGGCCAATCTTCAGTGAGGTTGCATTCATCTGTTCGGATGTGTAGCACTCACACTTTGTAATGTGTATCTTCATGTCAAGGCATTTTCCCTTAGATCTGAAGTAGTAACTGATTTGGATTACAGAAGTCAGTGTGAATTGGAAGATGAGACTTCATTGATGTAGGCAGCCAGATGAACCTCAGTGTGGGCTTGGAGCTCCAAGCTAGAGACAGTTTATGCTGAGTCAACACATGCATAGGCAGGAATAAGATATAATAAGTTAGACTCTTGTTCCTCTTGAGGTTATTGCTGGTTACTATTTCTTGTTATGTCGTTGCTAAAACAGTAAGTATAGGAAGGATGACAATGAAGAAACTACATAGTTCTTATTTTCATTTCATACTTTAAAAATAATTTCAAGAAATAGCAAAGAAATTTAAATTTGAAAATGAATTATCTGTTCAATTCCAGTTTGTAAATAAAATGACAATATATGTTATGTATATGTTGCATAATTGCATGTATGCTATAGTTTGTAACTAGTGCACTACCTATAATTTTTAATACCTACAAAGAAAGAATATATTAGCCTAACATCTCATAAATATTTTCTTCAATAAAATTTGGAAATTTCAGGTATACTGACTTTGAAACTATATCAACATATTATCCGATTGCCAAATACTTGGATTTGACAATCGGATAATATTGTTATGGACTTGCTCAGGGCATAATCTGATGATGGTGTCTGTCACTTGCTCAGACATTGAGCTCATTGTAGTCATTTCTAGATGGTCTGCCCAGCTAGATACAGCACTCTTTTTATAGAGAGAGCAGTGAGTGTGCTCTGTGTATTTCTTTGTCCAAAGTCCTTCAAGGATACTTCAGCAACCCTGTGCCTTAAAACTTGCTATAATTATTTTATGTCATGTAAGACTGCCAAAGCATCACCCACAGAATGATATATAAAGTCTTATCATAGCAATAATGCATTTATTCTGCTTCTTTTTAAAACTCTCTCTCCTCTTAGTCAGCCCATTAAAGCCGATGTCCTTTTTATTCATGGCCTTATGGGAGCAGCATTCAAAACATGGCGCCAGCAGGACACTGAGCAGGTTCTGACTGAAAAGGCTTTGGATGATGAAGACAGGTACACCACGTGCTGGCCCAAGGTAAGGAGCAGTGGCTCTGGCCGGCTGCTCAAGCACCCACACTGAAGTGCCGCTGCTCTTGCAGCCTCCCTGTGACTTGTACCTTTTCTCTTCCTGGGATTTAGAGACACTTGTAGTATGTTACAATAATAACTGGGCTTGTGACTCTATGTTATATAGTTTCTACTTGGGGTATAGCCTCTAAAAGAATATTCTGTAATTAAAAAATAGGGGTAAGGGCATAATGACTCACTTCCATTGAAGCATAATATAAAAAATAACTATAATTATCTATGTAATCAATTTTACAATCTTTATAATTATAAAACTAGAAAGATTTTGAAGAAATAATTCTACTTTGCATTCTTTTATATTATTTTCTCCAGAGAGCCTTAATTCTAGAATAAATTCATTAAATGGAATTTAGCTAAAGCTCATTTTGGATTGATGCTGTGTATAGGTGGGAATAGTTTCCAGGGCTTTCCTTAACTACCTGTTGTTCACCTTGACAAAGGCAGAGAACTAGTGATGCTGAAGTGTGAAGATGACTGTGAAGCTAGGAGTCCCAAAGATGAACTGTAACTGTCATTATTATCTTTGAATTCTTAGGTCCAAAGTTGTCTGTGGGACTACACAGTCTGTTCTGAGATCTTAGCTTTTGACTAAATGCTTTTAAAAGCCTATTGGATCTAGACTCCAAAAACAAACCTTGCTTTGGGCTACAGCAGATTAAAACTGTGTATATGCTGGTGATATATTCATATTATTTTGTCCAGACATAGGAAAAGATAGAATCCTTTATTTATAGTCACCTTCAAACTTTTATTTCAATATCATTTTTAATCAGTTGTTTATTGCATGAGACCTTTAGTTACAAATTCAGCTACTAGGAAGTAAGTTGAGATGGAAATTCATGCATGTTCTTATGTAACTTTCATTTTACTTAGACATGGTTGGCAAGAGACTGTCCTGCTCTTCGAATTATATCTGTGGAGTATGACACCAGCCTCAGTGACTGGAGAGCAAGGTGCCCTATGGAAAGGTAACTTTAGAGGAGATACTAAATGAAGAAAGGCTCAGGTCAAATGGATCCTCTGAGATGGGAATTGATTTTTATCTTTTAATACCATAGGCAGGATTTTTATTAGTGCTGGGGAGGAATCTCAGGGTCATGGACATGGTAAGCAAGTGCTCTACCACTGAGCTACACTCCCAAGTCAGGGTTTTCTTAGGAAACCAATGAAATAGTAGAAATCTTAGATATAGTATCAGTATTGTGCTCTGAACCTAGTTCCTTTGTAACTCAGTAATGAAGGATCATGGATTCCATAGCAGTATCGAGTTTCTTCCAGAAGCAGAAGTGATGTTTTTTGCTTTTGTGTTCACAACCATACTGGCCAAAGGAAGCAAAGGAAAAGATGCTGAGTAAATTTGGCTCATGTCTTTCTTTTATATCCCATGTACTGGCTGAGTAAATAGGAAAGAGCCCTGGTTTTCTGAGGATAGGACCTTGATTGTAGCCCAGTCCTGCCTTTGACTCACTGACTAGTCTTGGACAAATTGTTTAATGTGGGGGAACCTTCTTGTACAGATTGAGGGAGGAGGTCTACTCAGTGTTATTAAAATACTGCTTTCTGCATGGAGCCTGCAAAGGTACCTGAGATCAAGATGCTCAGGGTAAGCAGCAGGATCCAGGTTTCCCTCCTGTTTCTCTCCTGGGAGCTCTGGGTTACCTTTATTCTGAAGAAGGGTATTTATAGATAAACAGGTTGAAACTATCAGACTCAATAGTTTTGAAGCTCTCCTTTAGTTTTAAAATTACTTAGTTTAAAATCACTGATTTGAATAGTTTCTTACCATATATCTAACTAATAAAAATGATGAAAGCTTAATATTTGTAGCATGAATACTGGTAGAACCAAAATGCACAAAAGAGAAACAGAGTCTCTAAAGACGCTTTTATCTCAGACAGTGGAATTGGCTCACACTTCCCCTAAGTGCTAGCAGAAGCTGGGCTAAGAGATTTGACCTATAAAAATTGCCAGACACATTTGATACTGAAGCAATCCTCTGTAGTACATGAGTGGGCTGTTCTCTGCTTAGGTAATTATGTAATTATGCAAGTGATAATAAGTTGTAGAAAGAGAGTGAGCAACTTCAGAAACTTTCTCTTAGCAAGTAGGGATATCCCTCACTCCAAAATATAATATATAGCATTCTTGACTTGTAAAATTAGATAGCAAGATTTGGGGGATCATGCCTCCTGTCATGCTTGCTATTTTCATTTTGTTCAGAAAATCTATTGCATTCAGAAGTGACGAACTTCTTAGGAAGCTCCGAGCTGCTGGTGTTGGGGATAGACCAATAATTTGGATATCACATAGCATGGGAGGTAAGAATGGTTTCATCTTTGCAGAATGAGCATTGTGAGGTTGTCACCAATGGGTCTTACTTGAAGTTCCTTCATTTCTCTATTCTACTTACTTGCAACACACCCCCACCCGACCCTTATTTTAATATTGCTACTCTCCTTCCCTGTTCTTTGCTTTTCTAGAAGGGGGACAACTAGTACAAACCATGCAAGAGGGCAAGGGTTGACAACTTGATGCTTTCATGACCTGCTAATTTGTTGGCTTTACACTGAGGGATGTTTACAAGTTGGACTTGGATAAGCCTGCATTCCTGGGTAGCCACAGGGCCCTCCTTTCATCCTCCCTGTGTTCCCTCACCATTGCATACTTGGGGTTGCTTTGGTGCCCATGCTGCTCCCCCTACCCACTCTCTCCCGACCCAGCTGTGTTTCACCAGCCCTGCTGTTTTCCCCATCCACGTTGCAGACGCCCTTTCTACAGCCCCCAGCCTGCTTTATCTGATGAAATACTCAGGATGGCTGACCCCAGGTCACCTTTTTTTCTGAAAGAAAGGTGGCTGCAGCCCTTCATATGCTCAAAGATCACAGTCACCATCTTTGCACACTTTGTGCGTATTCTTTGAGTAGGGTGATGGAGGCAAAGATGCCTTCCTAGGTGCCTTTTCCATAGTAGTTGGGTGTCCTTGGTGGGACTATAACTTTGCATCTTTGTGTTCTTCTGGGTGCAGGCTATGTGGCAGGGGCAATAGCTGCAGTCACCTCAGTGATGGGACACCCAGCTCAGACAGGGATTCTGGGATGGAAAGATCTGTCCTGCCCTGCAGATAAGTTTCTAGTCTTACCTGTTAGTAGGCTTGTACTATGAATTCTAGAGGATCAGGAATGTTAATAAGTGTAAACATTTTAAGGGCCTGTTTTTTGTAGTACAGAGAATTATTTAACTGGTTTTTAAATAATGTATCTTTTTGTTGTTGTTGTTTTTTGCTTAGGTCTTCTTGTCAAGAAGATGCTGTTGGAAGCCTCTAAGAAGCCAGAAATGAGTACAGTTATAAAGAATACCAGAGGAATAATTTTTTACAGTGTTCCTCATCATGGATCACGTTTAGCTGAATACTCTGTCAATATTCGTTATCTTCTTTTTCCCTCTTTGGAAGTCAAAGAACTCAGTAAAGGTAATTCTTTCTGTCACAAAAGAAGTTGGGTTATATCAATATTAATTATAAAGGAAGAGTAAACCAGTTTATTCCTTGGATTTATTTCATTTTGTTACTCATGTAACTATTTGGACTATTCATGGAAAATGTCTGATTTGCCTTTTTTCTTTGATACCTTCTTTTTTTGTAGCCACTATTTACTGAAGTACAACCACAAGTTTAGTATTCAGCACTTAGAAAAACTATACAGAATGTTTTGTTTTACTTTATTATTCCAAATTATTAGTAAAGTGTTTTCCATGCATTTGGAAAATCAACTGTTAAAATACAAACTTTTAAGATTTTAGGCATATTAATTATAAAATACTGCAAAATAAATGATATGTTTGATCAATAAACATTTTTCCCTGGAACACGTATTAATTAGAACTTGGACTCCTTGGATTGAGCCTTAATGTACCAGTTGTCTCTTCTTATTTTCTTTGTTCTGCTTTGTGGAGTTTGTCTTTCTCAACATTGTCTAATTCAGCCTAAAGTATATTTTGAATTGTACTTTTTCCTTGAGATTTAATATTTGTGCATCTTTATGGGGATACATTGTTGTAATTTTATATATATATGAAGAATATAATAATCCAGGTAATAAGAATTTCCATCTCTACAAACAATAATTTATACGTACTGGTAATTTTGTGCTTTTCTAGTCATTTTAAAATACAGGTTATTTTAATTAATAGTTGTTATAGAAAAACCAGAACTAATTCCTCTTCCTTGTCATTGGTGCTGTGCCATTCCATTTCCCCCATGCTCCATCCTTCCCAGTCTCTACTGGGACCACTATTCTATTCTGTTCTTCTATGAGATTGACTTATTTTTACAAATGAGTAAGAATGTATGTATTTGTGTTTCTGAGTATGGCTTATTTCACTTAACATGATGACCTCCAATGTTATCTGTGTTGCTACAAAGGACAGGATTTCATTCTTTTTTATGGCTCAGAAATATTTTGTATGTATACTACATTTTCTTTATCCATTCATCCACAGATAGGAATCTAGTTGGTTCCATAGTTTAGCTATTACTAATATTGCTGCAATAAAGATGGGAGTGCAGGGGCTGGGGATTTAGCTCAGCGGCAAAAGCGCCTGCCTGGCATGCGCAAGGTCGTGAGTTCGGTTCCTGGTACCGGAGAAAAAAAAAAAAAAAAAAAAAAAAAGATGGGAGTGCAAGTATGTTTTTGGTATAATATTATGGAATTGCTGGGTCACATGGTATTTTTTTCTTTTTAGTTTTCTGAGGAATCTCTGTACTGTTTTCTATAATGGCTAAACTAATTTACATTTCTATCAAAATGTAAGTTTCTCTTTTTCTGCATCCTAACTTGCACTTGTTATTTTTTTGCCCCTGTGATGATCACCATGCCAACTGTGGTGAGGTGATATCATGGTGTTGATTTGCATTTCCCTTGTGATTAGTGGGAATGAATATCTTTTTTATACTTGCTGGTCATTGTGTGTTTACTTTTGAGAAGCATCTACTTAGTTCTTTAGCCTGTTTTAAAACTGGATGATTTGTTTTTTTAGTGTTCAGTTTTCTGAGTTCTGTATATATTCTGCATACTAATCACTAGTCAGATGAATAATTTACAAATTTTTTTCTCCCATTTTGTAGGTTATCTAATTCTGTTATTACTTTGCTATGTGGAGGCTTCTTAGTGTAAGATAATATAATCCCACCTGTCTATTTTTACTTTTGTTGCCTGTAGGATCCTGCCTAAAACATCATAGCTTATACTGGTGTTTTGAAGCATTTCCCCCATGTTTTCTAATAGTAATTTTATTTTATTTTACATTTAGGTCTTTAATCAATTTTGAGTTGATTTTCGTGTACAGTGAGAGAAAGGGAGCCAGTTTCATTCCCCTGCCCCCTCTCTCTTCTCTCCACACACACATGCACACACACACACACACACACACACACACACACACACACACAAAATTTGCCGGCACTATTTAATGAAGACAGGGCCAAGGATATAGCTCAGTGGCACAGCGCCTGCCTGGCAAGTGCGAGGTCATAAATTCAAACTATTTAATGAAGACAGTGCTTTTTCTGCAGTATGTGTTCTTGGCATCTTTGTTAAAAATAAGTTGACTTATGAATATGGATTAATTTTCAGCTTCCTATTCTGTTCCATTGGTCTGTATGTCTGTTTTCATTGACAGTACCATGATGTTTTGGTTACTAGAGCTTTGTAGTATATTTTGATGTCAGATATTATGAGGCTTTCTGCTTTTTTTCTCTCAAGATAGCTTTGACTATTCTAGGTTTTCAGTCATTACATACGAATTTTAGGGCTGTTTTTTGTACTTCTGTGAAGAAAGTCATTTGATGAGAATTGCATTGATTCTATAGATCACTTTGGGTAGTATGGTACTTTTAATAATACTAATTCTTATGATCCATGAACATGGGAATATCCATTTTCTTGTGCTCTCTGTAATTTCTTTCATCAGTTCTTTATAATTTTCATTGTCAGAATCTTTCAATTCCTTGGTTAAATTTATTCTGAATTTTTGTCACTGTTATGAATGAAATTGTCTTATTTTTTCATCAAATTCATTATTAGTATATAAAAATATAATTCTTCTTTGTATGTTGATTTTGTTTCTTATTACTGTAGTGAATTTGTACATTCTAACAGGACTTATGATGCTTTTGACCCAACCATTGGTTTTCTGTTTATAAAATAATGTCATCTGCAAACATTAATAATTTAACTTCTCTTCCATTTTAGATATCCTATATTCCTTTCTCTTGCCTAATTATTATTGCTAAGACTCATATGCTATTTTAAATAACAGCTGTGAAAAGTCCTGATCTTAGAGGAACACTTTTAGCTTTTCCCTATTCAGAGTGATATTGGCTGTGGTTTTTCATTTATAGCCTTAAGTATGCATAATTTGTTGACAGTTTTTATACAGAGTCTTATTGAATGCTTTTCTTACATCTATTAAAATATATTTTTGTTCTTCTGTTGATGCCTCACATTTATTGATTGATGTATGCTGAAACATCCTTGCATCACTGGGATAAATCCCACTTGACTGTGGTACATGTATGATCTTTTTAACATGCTGTTGAATTTGGTTTGCTATATTTTGAGAATTTTTACATCTGTATTCATCAGGAATATGGGTCTATGGTTTGTTGTTGTTGTATCCTTGGTGTTATTATCAGGATAATGCAGACTTGTAGAATGTTTGGCAGAGTTTCTGTCATTTCAGTTTTTTGGAGTAGTTTAAGAAGAATTGGAATTACATCTTTAAATATTTTATACAATTCAGCAATAAGCCATCAGGTCTTGTACCTTTTTTTTTAGATGTGAGATTTTTCTACTGCTTCAATTTTATTATTTTTATTATTGGTCTGCTTAAAATTTCAGTTTCTTCTTAATTCAGTTTTGGTAGGTTGTGTGTATTCAGGAGTTTATTTCTTCTAGGTTTTCTGTATTTTTAACATTTCTTATGATGTTTTAAAATTCTTTGGTATCAGTTTTAATGTCTCCTTTTTCATCTCTGATTTTATTTGGGTCTTCTGTTTTTTTCTTCATTAATTTAGCTAAACCAAGAAATATTGTTTATGCATTCTTTGTATCATTTCCTTGTTTTATTTTTGATTTATCATCTGCTCTTGATTATTTCTTACACTTATTTGGGGTTTGGTTTGTTCTTCCTCTTCTAGGTTCTTGAAGTGCACTGTTGTTTACTTGAGCCTTTTCTGTTTTTTGATATATGCATTTATTGTTACAAGTTTCCCTCTCACTACTTACTTTGCTGGATCCCACAGATTTTGTATGTTGTGATACTGTCATCTTCATTTTCTTCTGGGATTTTGAAATTTCTTTGTAAATTTTTTTCAATTACTCCTTGGTCATTTAGAAGCATGTTATTAAATCTCCATGTGCTGGTTCTCATGGGGCAAGCACAGGTAGGACGTGGGCTGTGGCAGTGGCAGCTGCTGATCCTGAAGCTTCAAGACATGGAACGAGCCATCTTCTGGCCAGTGAAGCATGCACCAGCCCAACTCCCTGCAGTCAGGACTGCTGGTCTGCTGCTGCCATTAGGGTTGGGGCACTTTCCCACTTAGCGTCTCCAGCAGTGTGAGTATCCCTTCAGCCAGGGAGCCCATTGAAGTTGCAGTTGGCTTTCTTCTTTTCCTTATATTGCCGTTTTGTCTCTCCATGCTGATTTCACAGGTCTCCTCAAACATTTTCCTTGAAATACAGATTTTCCTTTGTTTCCTTGGTTTTTGTCTGTGGCAGAATTACATGCAGGCCACCTCTTTTCAGCTGTCTTGGCTCTGATTTGTTTTCTTCTCTGGCTGTTCTTTATTCTTCTTATCCTCTTCTTGCTTGTCCCTTCCATTTTTTTCCAGATCATTATTAAGATACTAATGAGAAGATTTTTAAAAGTTCCTTTGAGTCAAGTGTGGTATAATCAGCTACTCAGGAGGCTGAGACAGGATGGCAAGTTTGAGGCAATCCTGGGCAGCTCAAGGAGACCCTATTTCAAAATAAAATTAAAAGGGCTAGAGGTGGACCTTAGTGACAGAATGCTTACCTAGTGGGTGTGAGGCCCTGGTTCAATTCAAGAACTACAAAAATAAATAAATAAATAAAAATTCCTTTGTTTCCTTTTTTGGCTTTGTTTCTTCTGTAGTTGGAATGACTTTTCTGCCTGGCTCATCTGCTATCTTTGAGTTTGTAGGCTTCCTCTAATACTTGGTGCTTCTTTTCTTGGCTACCCTTTCATATTTGAGGATAAGAGGCTGGAAGGGACAGGCTGTGTTCATGGGAGACTGTGGGTATCAGCTGTCACTGGGGGCCTTCTGTAGTCTCACACATTGAATGTCCTAGACTCTGCTTCCTATCAGCCAGTAGTATGAAACCTTTCTTCTCCATTATCTGTGTCCTCTCAGTTTCTAGGGGGCTTTAGCCCCTTATTTGAAATCGTAGAATGCCAGGGATAAAGCTCAGCTGCAGAAATACCTTCCTGAAATCATAGAATGGCTTCTCAGGCCACCATCTTGAATTAGAATCCTGATGGCATTTCTAAATTTGAAAAATTAATGCATTTCATTTTAAACTAGGTAAACAGAACTTGTCACATTCTTATTCTAATTTTATAGATTCGCCTGCACTTAAAACACTACAGGATGACTTTGTGGAGTTTGCTAAAGACAAAAAGTTCCAGGTACTGAATTTTGTAGAGACACAGCCAACCTGTATTGGCAGCATGATCAGACTCCACGTGGTGCCTGAGGAATCAGCAGGTAAAATTCTTGAAACTTTCTAGCCATAGATGCTTAGTAAGAAGTACCTCACACTTAATCATAGCATCTTATATCCCGTTTCTCAGTTTTAGGAGATAACTTAAAGAAGATCTAAAATCTTAATTCTATTACTCTTTGTAGCCACAGATTAAAACTTCTCTGACAACATACAGCTTTGGCATTCCCCTTCCCCTCTTTATTTAACTGACTAGACAACAAAGGTTAATGGCTTAATTCTAAATAAGGTGTCAACAGTGACCTGTGCTGCTTGAAGGTCATACCAAGCTCTCCGTCAGCTAGATTAAAAGGGACAACTCAACAGACAGCTGCATGTAGAACATTTTTAAAAATCTGTTAATTTAAAAGGTTTAGTAAATACAGGATATCAAGGCATGGAAGCTTTAATGAATGGAAGATATATTCAAGCAGGAAGCACTCCAAGGGGGTAAAAATTTTAGTGTTAAGACTAAAGCTTCTGCATGATCCTGGGTGGAGGGAAATGGGTATTGCCTACCAGTATAGGTATTCTAGGTAAGGACTTAGAGGCTGCTTGAGGCTGTCTCTCAAACCTTACTTCCTTATAGCCTTCTGTAATACTCTCTGCGTTGTGGCTACCCTGTTCATTTCAGTACCTGAAATGCTTTCCCTCTACATGGCCACTTCTTTGGCTTGCTAGAGTGAACCCTTTTTTAAAATTTAAATTTAAATTTTTATTAGTACATGTTGGCAGCACATGATGATTATATTTATTGTGGGGAGTTGATAGATACACGTAATACATTTTCTTTTTACTTCCCTTTATCTTACAGGGTTTATCACAACTAAGCTAGCATTAAGAACTACCCATTTGACTTCTTTTAGTCTTGAGAACGGGGAAGGCTTTATTTTTAAATATATTGATAAGTGTTTTCATTTTTGTTTTCTTTAGATTTAGGCATTGGAGATCTAATTCCTGTGGATGTTAACCATTTGAACATTTGTAAGCCGGAAAAAAAGGATGCTTTTTTGTACCAACGTACTCTGCAGTTCATCCGTGAAACTTTAGCCAAAGACCTTGAAAATTAACTGCTGTTTTCTTCCATTTTTTCATGTGAATATGTGCAAGAAAGCTGATGTTCTCTTACCTTTTAAGCCCCAAGTTGGCATGCACCAGCGAGGTCTGGAGTGGTGCAGACAACAGAGTGTGGCTCTCCATTCCCACACTGGAAAACATGCACAGAGTAGCAGTGACAGAAGAAACGGCTAGAGTGGGACCCTCTGGCTTACAGAAATCCCACAGTGCTGGGCCTTGTGACTAGAGCAAAGCTGCTAGGGGCTAGAGAGGCCCTTTTCTCACCTGGGAGCCCTGGTGGGCAACTCAGCTCACTGTAAAAATGCCGTAGAGAGAGTGCCTAAATGGGGAGAATAGTGGACTGGAACATAGAAGATTCTGGTTTTGCTCTTGATATCCATGTGCTGTAAATTTTTAAAACATTTTAAATTTCTAGTTTTTAACTTTCAGTTCAATCTTTGTCTAACACATTATCACTGGTGTTAACTTAGTTAGACCTGTTGTCATGCATGGGTGAGTTGATTATGTGTTTTTATTTTCATATTGCTGAGAACAAATTTTGTTTTTAAACTCCAGCTTAGAGTAATTCTTTACAGACCAAAGCTACCTATGCTTATCATGTGTTTCAGGTAAGGATAAAGTAGCTTAATTCATTACTGACCAGAATATGAAATAAAAACTGTTGTAAGCATGTATATGTATCATATCAACATTTTCAGATTCTTTTTAGCTAAATATACTTTGCTTGCTCATTTGGAAGTAGCATTAAAAATCATTTAACAGACTTTTTCAAAATGAGCATCAAAATATAATTTGTATAGCTTACAATTCATCCTTTAAAAATATGCAGTTCATTGGTTTTTAGTATTATTAGAGTTGCGCAACCATCATTATCATCTAGTTCTGGAGTATTTCATTATCCTAAAAAGAAACTCACCAGCAGTCATTTTCCCCTGCTCTGTCCCCAGCCCCTGTTAACACAAGTCTGCTTTCCATATCTGTATTTACCTCCTCTGGATATTTCATACAGGTGGACTCATACAGTAGGTAGCTTGTTTTCTTCACAGAATATTTTCATTATATATATATAAAATGTAGCATTTTTATTGCTTATGACCCAAATTATCCCATTGTACGTTATGCTACATTTGTTTATCTATTCATCAGCTGATGGACATCTAGATTATGTCCTTTGTTTGGCTGTCAGGAACTCATGATACTGCTGAGATTGTTTGTGTACAAAGTTGGCTTTTTTTTGGATAGATGTTTTTACTTATTTTGGCTGAGCAGAATTCCTGGTCACATGCTAAGTCTGTGCCTAACATTGTGAAGATAAGCAAGGTCATCAGCAAACCCTGTTGCATCAACTTCTGTTTAGTGATATAGCCACATAATGAATGACTTATCCCCGTGTCTTGTAGCAAATATGAATGCAGCTAACAATGTGCTAGCTAATGGGGAAAAGAGGTTTAATAGGTTTGGTTCTTTCTTTGTTTTTGGGGGGGTTTTTTTGGTATCAGGAATCAAACTTAGGACCTCATACTTGCCAGGCAGACACTGCACAACTGAGCTAAACCCCTGGCCCCTTTGGTACTTTCTTTTGGTTCTGTTTTCCATGAACTACGACAGATAAACCACAGTAGAAACAGCTGTTCTATTAATGTAATAAAACATTAATGTAATAAACCCCTTTCCCTAAATTCCTAATCAATAACTATCATAGCTGTGCTTTTAGCAAGGGTAAAAGAAAAATCCAATATATTGCAAAATTACTGTGCTTTTTTAGGCGAGCCTTCAGCATTTTTTATTCTCGTTATAAAATGGAGAGGCAAGGATTTGGATGAAGTTTATCATACTAAGTAAATGTAACATAATATAGCAAAATGGAACAAGTGTATGATGATGGCCAGAGAGTCAGTCTAAGAGGAACATAATCTTCGACAGCAACAAAGTGATGAACAGGGAAAAGGTAGAGATGTGGAAACAAACCAAAACCCAAATCAGTCAGCATAATTCTAGAACTATATGGAAACAGCACATTGAAATGTATAAATGGCTTACCATGATGGATACAGAGCCATGATAGATGGGAAAGAAAGCTGCTTAATTAGAAGATCATAGCTGGGCGTGGGCATGCTGGCACACTCCTATAATCCCAGCATTTAGAGGGCTGAGGCAGGAGGATTACTGCAAATTCAAGGCCAGCCTGAGGTACATAGTGAGTTCAAGGCTCACCTATCTACGTAGTGAGACCCTGCCTCAAAAAGAAAGAGATAATAAAGTTATACAGCTATAAACTCAGTGGACAGACATTGTCAGTAAAAACTAAAGGAATAGGGACCGCTATGCTCCTGGTAGTCCTGCCTCAGTTTCCTAAGTGCTGGGATTACAGGTATGCCAGACAAATCTTATTGGTTAAACCAAGGTCTATAGCAGGAATAAAATTAAAATGTTGTATTTTGAAATGCAGAGACCCCTAAAAAATACCAAAAACCTCATATTAGAAACAGTAATGTTAAGCCAGGTGTGGTGGTGCACCTCTGTAATCCCAGCACTCAGGAGGCTGAGGCAGGAGGATTGCCTCCAAAGTGTATTCAAGGCCAGCCTGAACTGCATAGCTAGACCCTGTCTCAAACTAAAACAAAACAACAACAACAAAAAGAAACAGTAATGTTGAAAAGAATTACGTGCTCAGCTCAATTGCCCTTGAAATCAGTACAAAGGTAATAACATACTCAAACCCACAAGAATTTGGAAAATAAGTCATAGTTTTATCCCCTTAGCTTAATTTAAAATATTATATAATTACATATACAGTTCCTGAATTTAATTTGCTCTATGATTTTGGAAAAGATGCCCATGGTCATTCATATATGTCACCCAATGCAGAGTTTACAAACAAGAACAAAATTTTGCCAAATGCTTCTATTTGTAAACAAATGCATTGTGAACCAAGGTACCACTGTATTTTAATCATCTAGTATTTTATTAATACATTTTCAGTAAACAAATTTCTAGAATAATGTACCTTTCTGGGTAGATGTGGGGTGAATTTTTTTTTTGGTACTTATAAGTAGGACTGACTTTTTGAATGTTTGCTGTTTTAATACACTATTCTAAAAGGCTGTAGGGAAGTAAAAGTTGTAATCATAGCCACTGTGTTCACTGGCCAGGTATGGCTGCATAACCTAGCATGTATCTCAGGAAAAGAAAGATAAGTTAAAAAGGTCATTGTGAAAGTTGACAGAGGGCTTTTCTTTCAGTGATAGGAAGCTAGGTTTTTGGATCTAACTTCCCAGTGAAGACAACTAAACAATCTGGATGAAGTGCTTTTATTGATCAAAGAAGTAAAAAAATAAGGAATGACTGATGTATCTAGGGAAAGGCAAAACAACAGAACAAAGACACACCTTAGTTATTACCTCATTTTGGGACACAATACTTGACAACCCACAGTTTGAGGGAGGAGAGAGGTTTATTTTGGCCCACGTTTCACTTCATAGTCCGCTGGCTCCAAGGCAGGAAGCCTTGCGGGGTGGGGCATAGTGGACCAGAAGCTGGAGAAGTGAAGGAAGGAGCTGGGGAGGAAGATAAGCCCTTCCAGGCCACTCCTACAGACCTGCCTCTTCGGACCAGAACCCCTCCCCTGCAACAGCAAATCAGTTATAAGTCCCATAATCCAATCACTTTCCAAAAGCACCACCTATGAGGTCATACAGGCCTTAGGGGACATCTACACCATAACAAGGAACTAGCAGTCAAAACTACTACTCTTGAGGCAGGGACAGCACTCGATTTGGCAACTGGAAGTGATTGTCACCAACTGAAAAAGATTGGGGCCGCCCATTTCCACACCCTGCCCTCCTGACCCAATGGGGCCTATTCTAGCCGAAGACTGACGGGGCCTGCAGCTCTTGCGCCCACAACCCATCACTACATGAGTGCCCAGGGTCACTCTTCCGGTCAAGAGTAAGTCTCCTCACATGGGGGCCGCACGCTCCTCCTCGTCAGTGTTCTTGGACCTACAGTGAAATCTTCAGTATCAGGCAGTGAGTGCTGACAGCCAGCTACATTGCTAATAGCAGCTCCCCCTTAAACTGCTTTGGTTCACTCCTGGTGATTCCCCAGTGCCCCACTCCCCTGGGATAGGACCTACTTCTCAGACCCTGGACAGCAGTCATCCAGAAGCCTCCTTTCTGCTTCTTCCAGTACCTCACTTAGCCTGTAACCTAGGCAGCCCTCCTTCAAGGCTCTAGGGACGGTCCGGTCCCCACTTAACTCAGCCAGGCTGTCAGCCACAATCTTAACCGGATTCCACCTTTGAACAGTGAAGTGCTCCACTATGTTGATGGTATCTTAACCTGCTACCCTTCTCCCAGACTGTTAGTCACCTCTCATTCCTCCTGCAGATACCGTGCCTCACTGTCCAAGGCACACTTAGTCCAGACTGCCGTGCGGTACCTGGGGCTCCACGCTACGCCCTCCTCACGGGCCATCACAACTGACCGCATGCTCTCAGCCAATCAGTTCCCCTCCTCACAAAAGCTGCTCTCGTTCTTCAGCCTAGCTGGCTTCCTCTGCCTCTGGATCCCCAGTGTTGGCCTCAGAGCCAGACCCCTTTATAATACCCTCTCCAAACCCACACCCTCATGCCCTCCTCAGCTGGGATATCTTCCTTAGCTGCCTTCAAACCTCTCACCATGATCCAAATCACTCTCCCAATATGCATAAAAATCCCATCCCATAGACAGCTAATAGCCAGTTCATAAAAACTTTCCAAGTTCCTAGTGGGTGCCAGGTGACACTATCATCTCTTAATGCCAGACACATAATTGAGACCCAGTCACTCCCCAGGAAAACACCTCACAACCAGCAAAACAGCCCTAACCCAAACACTTACTCTGGATTCCTTCCGGCCCTCTTGCTGTACAAAAACCCCCCTATTCCCAACAAAAAAATCACATAAAAACACTTAGAGATAGCCATCCTGCCAATAAATGTGGGCATCCTCCACTGTATCCCATCAGGCCTTACAGCTCCCAGCCCATCTAGCTGACAAAACAGCCAAACACATTGCCATCACCCAAACTCCAAAAGACCCAGATCACCCCTCTCCTCTTCCCTTGTTCCCAGATCTCAGCCGTTAAATTCCACCACCTGTGACAGTCGTACTACCCCTGGCCTTCCTCCAAGTAGAGCCCTGCCAAGACAGGCCCCAGGGCTGAGTCCCCATTCTTCTGGCCCCGTTCACCCCTAGGAGATTGCTCCCATTCACCTCAGGCCCCTTGAGCTCTCCCACAGTGAGCACACTGGCGCTCTCCTTGCGCAGCCTTCACACCCATTCTTCCTCTCCTCTCCCACCCCAGCCAACAGGTCCTGCTCAAAACCCTTAAAAAGGCCACTTTTCATTTGACCTGGGAGAGACCCTCCATGGTCCTCCTGACTTAACGCCTTCCCACTGCCTTTCTACCCATCCCTTTTTATTATCTCAAAACTCAAGAATGTCAGGCGGTTCTGCTCTCCCTCCCAGTAGGTTTCTCTCCAAAAGCTACCTGTTGCCCTCTGACTCTGGCTACCTGAACTCCCTGAACTCATTCCCTTTCTCTCATATGAGAGTTAATATACTGTCCCCCAAATTCACTTTTGCTCCCAGAAATAATGCCTGGCCTCTGGCTCCAGGACACCTTTATCAAGCTCACACCCACACAGGTTAGCTTCTTCACCTTTGCCTCCATTTTCTATTGATCTGGCTAGCATGTTGCCACTGGCAAACAGTGATTTTTTTGGGCTGTTCACTCAATTCGTCTCCTGACAGGAGTCAGAATAGCCATCGCTGTTGGCACCAGACCAGCTAGAGTAAAAGTCTCTCTTCATCTTTTTTCAGATCCCTCCAAGCAGGTTCAGCCCCAGCCCTGCCCAGTGGCTACCCATGCAGACAACCTCAGTTCCCAACCAAGAGCAAATAAAATCCACTGCTTGCTTCACACAGACAAAACTCATCCCCACCTTGACTGCCCTGCCATTCAGCTTGGCTGACTGAACACCCCCTTTCTTCACCACATTGCTATGCTGAGCAGGTACCTATTAAACTCACTAACCTGCAAGATCAAATCGACTCCTTGGCTGCTGTTGTGCTCCAGAACTATCAAGGACTAGACTTGGCTCACCACAAAAAGGTGAGTTCTGTGCCTTTCTCCAGGAGACCTGTTGTTTCTTCTCTAAGAAGTCTGGACTCCTATTGAGATGGCATCAGGAGGTTGTGTGGTCAAGTCAGCACCCTACAATACCAGGTCCCGTCCCAGCGCATTCCTGGCTGGCTGACCACTTCCTGGAGCTCCTGGCTTATACCATTCTTCTTGGGCCCATTATTTCAGTATTCCTCTTAATCATATTGCCCAAGTCTGTGTAGCTTCGTCCAAATACAGATGTCTCAGTTCACTTCTCAAGTGGCCACTGCCTTGTTTCTCACCAGTTGCCCCTATCAGCCCCACAATTTCACCCCTGGTCATCCTGAAGCAGCTTAATAAAAACCCACACCCCCATACTTTTTCTTTATTACCTTTAAAAACCCAAGGGAGATGATAGGTCTGACCCTCACTGGTCCAAATGCCTGAACTCAGAGAATAATCACAGACCATTCCTACATCCTCTTGCACCTCCCATGTCCCAGCCCCACCTACGTTGCT